GCACATCTGCCTGCCTAAGAGGGATTAAAAAAATATTACCCCTTAAACAACATCAAGTAATTAAGAGACAGTTGTTGTTGCAAAAAAGGGCTGCTCCTGGTCCTATAAAAAGGTAAAGGTGTCCCCTTGACATTAAGTCTAGTCGTGTCTGGGATGGTGCTCATCTCCATTTTTAAGCGCAAGAGCCAGCATTGTCCATAGACGCCTCCAAGATCATGTGGCTCGCATGACTGCATGGAGCGCCGTACCTTCCCGCCGGAGTGCTACTTATTGATCTACTCACATTTGCATTCTTTCAAACTACTAAGTTGTTGGAAGCTGGGCCTAACAGATGGAGCTCATACCGCTCCCCGGATTCAAACTGCCAACCTTTTGGTCAGTAAGTTCAGCAGCTCAATGGTTTTAAAAAGATCCTAATCCTATATTGCCCAGGAAATATGCAAAATCTGGTAGAAATGTGCTTCACACCCCCAGAGTGCCTTTGGGGGCAAAAACATGTATTGGTTTTTCCTCCCAAATGTTGACACACTGAGAGGGTATTTGAAAGCCAAAAATGTTGATTTTGTGGCAATTTTTGTGGACTACCAAGGAGTCCTACTTGCCACAAAAATAGCTCTGGGAGTTAATGGGCTCCATTTAACTCACTTCCTCTGTAAATACTGCATTTTAGCCTATCTATACACTTTATAAGAGGATTTTTAAAAAAATCCATCTGTGTGAGAAGAGATACTTTAACACCTCAGTCTGGACCACAGCCAAGAACCATGGTTTGTAAATGCATGATTGGAGTCAAATGACAGAAACACTTCACAGACTGACACCCTTAAAGGTCTGGTTGGTAATTTGTGGCTGCAGATATTCTCAATCTGAGAGAGGGAACAACTCAGTTCAAGGTGGATAAAATGAACAGGGTGAGCTGGTATTAGCCAACCCAGACAGGATGAGGGAAATAAGGCAAAGAGGCAAGACTGCAGCAAACCAGATGTTGTCTGACTAAAGATCAGGTATTAGCAAAGGAAGCTAAAAATAAGGTTGAAGCAACATAGGAATAAAATGAACTAGAGTTCTGAGTGGCTAGCAAGGTGAAGTGAGAGGTGAGGTACTGCCTGCACCCTCTCCACAGACAGTGATCCAATATCAGTTGGGGCCCTAATATGCGGAGTTTTCAAACTGACAAGTGAAAAAGTTGTGCATCAGATTTTTCATCATTACAAGACAAGCAGGAGCTCAGACTATTAAATAGTGTGCTTTTTTCACCTGACAGGCTTTCACACTATTGGCACAAATATGTAAGGTTTGAGATGCACAATGACAGAGGCTGTTAAGTGAACAATACACTACTGTACATCTTTTCTAATACTGTTCTGCAAGGCATAAAATTGGATAACCGGCTTTCAAAACCCAATCTGGCAATGTCTTCTTACTGATTGCCAAACTAAAAACTTGCTTTCTATATCTATTTCATGTCTCCAGCATTATAGGGCAGGAAAAAGGATGAATCAGATTTGTAATAAAACAAT